TCACATTTGTGTTTCGAGCCCTCCCCCAAAATATGGAGCCAGGGATAAAGTATAAGCTGTACAGTTCAGCTGCAGTGCTCAGGAGGGAACTCCTCCAGTCCCTGGTATAAAAAAAATGGCGGTGTAGGATGAATAGGGGTTTAAATTCATTAAAGAAGGAGGTAAGGATTGTTTGGAGGTCATTAATAACCAACTAAATCAGAAATATAAGCTTGCAGGAGGTATTACTGGAAATGAGAATACTTCATTAGAATCAAGAGTACTGTTCGGGTGCATAGACATATCCCAAGACACGGTCTGTCACCCTGATTCTCTCAAACCAAAGCGGTTACTACTCACTTATTACCAAATCCTAAAATCCGAATAGATCTTGTTTCAGAGTAATGTGCGGCAATGAGTTCTGAGACAAGACTGATCCTGGAGACCCATAAGAGAGCATTCTTGGTCCCATCCTATATATCATTTATACTGCTGACCTTCCAATACATCTCAACACCAACCTTACAACCTACGCGGATGATATTGCAATTTTATCTCCTAACCCTAATCCTATTCAAGCGACCTCCAACTTGAGATCATTGAAGTGCAAACGTGGAAGATGAAACTGAACGAGGATAAATGCACCCAAACTGCATTGCACTCTAAACAATAGCCTTGTCCAGGTCTATAAGTTAACAGTAAAGAACAACTGACGTGGAATCTCCTCACAAGTTAAGAGAAAAGAACTAAAGACGATTTGGTCAACTACGAAGACATAGGGCAGAAATGAGGCATGACGATAAAGAACAAAGTAACTCTGTACAAATCTTACACGTTTTTGAGCATACAGAGCGGAATTGTCAGGAACCACCAAGCATTCTAATCAAAAAGCGTTTAATGAATTTTCCAAATACCACAACGACTTTAACTATCGCTTCTTCCCGCTTTCTAAAGTTCAAATACAATATTTCAAGACATCCTAACAATACTGCTCAAGCCTTCACCATTACTTCCCATGAATCCTCCACGTCGCCTAAAACGACGATGCCTTAGCCTAGTGTGCCATCATTGGCTGTACAAATAAATATTAAACAAAAAAGTTTTATAAGCAAAATCAAAGAAATCTAATTCAATGGAATAGTTTATTCTTCTTTTTTTAATTATCTAATTGAACTACCTCATTGCCCTTAATACTAAATTTTACTTCAATAAATCCATGGAAAAAGTTTTAAACAAACTTTTATAAGCAATATCGTTCAACGGTCCCATTTGCCTTCGGGGAAGATTGAGAATTACATTCAACGGGTTTCGAAAGGATATTTAATGGGTTCCAGTCGATTTTGTGTTAGGTCCTGGAGTATTCATGGAAAAGGGAAATAAAATGAAGACTTGGCTTTTTTTCACTACACCCTAAATACTTATGCAAAGAGATTTTTTTTATCTATCCGAAATTATTTTATCCATTTATTTCCTTAATCTTACAGTTTTATTTTATTTATTTGTTAAATTTATTTTATTTTATTCTTTGAGGGGTTTGAGGTTGGTTAAGAGAAAAGAATACTTTTTTCATTTAAGTTGAATATCCAATTAACTGGTGGCGACGTTGACCTTTGTAGAAAATTGAAAATAATTCGACCCTTTGTAACTTTCCTCGTGGTCCCTGGGCTGTTGAACCATCTAAAGGTCTGTCAATATGCAAAGTTGTGCAAACAGATCCGGGCAACTTTCGGGAAAACGGTTTTGAAAGGACGTAAACCATCATCACAATCGAATCTGTCCAGCTTTCACCATACTCTGCGTACAATTGTCACCTTTCTCGCTCTACATATATTTTAAATCGATTGCATAATAACCAACACAAAATTAAATCAGCGTGATGTTTTTTTTTTCTTTCTTATTTAAAATATGTATGACTTATGCAAGAATGATAATTATACATCAGTAATCCTAAACTAAAGCAAAACAAAATTACTTGTTACCTCATTTTATTTGACATGACATACATTTCAAACAGGCCCTTGTTTAATGGATAATACATGCTAAATCAATTAAAATAATTAAAGTTGATATGAGATTAAGAGGTTTAAAAGATTTTTTGAAAAAACACTCACCTACAATTAGTTAATACTAACACGCAATGAATGAAAGGTGAAAACAACTCATACCTAAATATAACAGAAAAATATTAATAAGAATAAGAGAATTTAAAGAAAAAAATAAAACTATTACGCGAATAATCACAAATCAGCGTATAGAAACCGTGGACAGATTCTTATTCTAGGCTAACAATTTCGGAAAAATTTTGAAAATTGATCACGGCTTAAATATTAAATTTGCTGCCTAGTTTCCTTCAATTCTTCAGCAAGAGGCCGCGCGTATGTGCCCAGCATGTTCAGAAAGGTTGCTCGATGTGTCCGACCTAAATGAGTGTTGCAATTCCTTGGCTCCATATAGAGAGCGCGTAGGAATGCCACCCGATATGAGAATTGTGATTGAGCACAGCAGCGAGTATTTGGCCCCAATCTCCCAATTATTATTATTATTATATATGTAGTGCTTTATAGAAATCACTTTTTCAGTCCACGAGTGAGTGAATGTATTTATTAGCGTGAGTGTGCACAGTGAGAGGGCCGATGAAGGAATGTTGACAGCATCAACCCTCAAGTACTTTAGTAACATATTAATTATTTCTGTTACTAGCCAGTTATATAATATTCGTATAGGGTGATAGAATAATATCAAGTACTTCACCATCCTTACTGAGCGAATAGTATAATACTAAAAAAATTATGAGTGAGAGACTTGAATCTAGAATCTAATAGTGTTGGGGGCTGAGTTGATCTAGCTGTAGCAGCCCTTGAAACCAACCTCGCTGACTGGACGGTAAGTCCGTCAACACCCGGGGGGTGGATGATCCTCAATGGCTGCCGGTAGTTTATAGTAAATGTTAGACTTGGGAAAAACTGAGAAATGATAGGCTCCACACTGTACATGTGCGCAGCTCAACTAATTTCGCATCCATAATAAAAATAGTATATTCTTATTTCTTTTCAGGCAATTCCGAGTTTCCTTTTGATCATCCTTTTCTTTTGTGAGAACCGTGATAATTTGTTGCTGGGGTTCTTCAAGGCTGTATCCTAGGATCTATCCTTTTCGTTGTGTATACGGTTGTACAAAATACCTCGTACAAAGTACGTAAAAATGGTTCTCTACTCTTTCTCTTGGAAGAAATTCGAAACCCATTTGAAAATCAGTTCATAAAAACGTTAGATTGATTGCCAGTCGGTCAACTGGTTACTGTCACATTTTTTCGTAACATTTTACAAAAATTTCATTAGTATTTTTCATAGCATAAGAATCTACTTTCACGGATAAAAAAATGAAATTTTTGGTTTCTAAACGAGCCTATATAAACCAGTAATCAGATAGCACGTTATTAAACAAAACATATTTTAGATAATTCCTAGCTTCACCTCGAAATTCACCTTTTTAAATGTCTCAATGTCCGATATTGACAAAATTTTGACAACAGAACATGGTTTAACACTAGCAAGAATAATGAATTAGGAAGAAGAAATACAGAAAATGATATTTGGACAATAAATCAAATGCTAAAAATTCAAAAAATCTCCCAAGTGTTATATTAAATGCTATAATTTTTTAATATGTTCTTTAAATTTTAAACTAATTCTGACTTTTAAAGTAGTGTTTCTAATGATTTCTATCCAAGAAATACATAAATAGAAAAATAAAGCCTTAAATTTAAGATAAGACTAAGTTTTGAAAGACAACTTGACCCAATTTTGTTATCAAAGTATATAAATATAGCAGTTTATTTGTGTTTTGTCAAATAAGGTCTATAAATTTATTGTAGAAAAACTGTTGACAAAAACAATTTACTTAAATTTACGAATAATATGTTATTTTTTACGTTTTACTTTTGTTATGAATCTATATTCTATCTACATTTTTCCAAGCCATGTTTGCCATTAAGCTTTTACGGCAATTATTTAGATTTAGCCGACAATCTAGAAAGCATAAATCCAGTAGGGATAGAGGGTTGTCAGAGGGAGATAAATTATCAAGGAAAAGTAAATCCCGTCAAGATTTATTCCTTGTGTACCGTTCCCGGATGATTGTGCCGTTCACACGTATACCAAAAACATTTTTTTAACCTAGAACAAAACGAATTGAATACAGTCCACGAAGAGGAGAATTTTTCTCCCGATACATATACTAAATTCAACCACTGTGTTGACCTAAGTTGCCTGATGACAATTTTGTTGGTTTATTATTTATTTACTGCCTATTGGCCGTGCATGGAGAATATTTAAGGCAAAAGTGGCGAAGATTTATGACGAATGTTCAACCCGATGCTAATTCCTGCAAACTTCAGAACTAATAATAGCTCTAAATCAGAGACTTAAACTTTCTCCTAGATGCCTTATCTCCATGATTACTTATTGTTGTTTCTTAACACTGAGGAACCAAACCCAATAATATTAATTAACAAGAGAGTACAAACGAGAAACTAAACCGAAGAAGTTGTGAGGCAAAATTAAAGTAAGTTTATCAAAGGGAAATTAGATATAATAATATAATTGTATGTAGTTTCTTAATTAATTCTGAGTCTAAAAAGTAAGTACTGTCAAAATAATGCAAAAGTTTACTCAGATTCAATTTACGTCCAGATAAATAAACACTAAAAGCGCATGCTGAATACACAAATGTTTAATTTACAAAAATTAACCACCTTGAATATAAATTGACCAAAAAAATGTATTTTTTTAACCCTTTACTTAAAAATTTATTTTTGAAAAATAAATGTTGTTAATTAATACAAAATCGTAAAAGATAGATTAATGTAGTCCAAAACAAATCATATCTCTAAAATAAGATGGCTGGCGTCAGCATTTGGTCCTCCGGGCCGGATATAAACCAGCGACCTATGGATCTACAGTCCGCACACAACCTGGCGCCAACATATATATTGAATTTTGTTAGTCTACAATTTAACGCACCTGTCATATTCTGTGTTGTCCTCGTCGCATCGTTCGTCTTTCATCTCTTTCCAAGATTTACCGTGTTTGCACGTCGTCACCAATACGATGTCTCTCTCGTTGTGCAGGTGGTAAAGGGAATTTCTGGTTTCCGAGCCGATCCCGTGGACGTAACGTTTTCCTTTAAAAGCCAGGAGGAACTTCTTGTTAATCGGAAAATTGTTTGTCGCAACGAATCCCTGCTCTCCGCCCTTCTCCGGGTGATTCTGAAATTTTAAAAAACATAATTAATTTTTATTAAAATCATAGCCAAATAATGAAAATAAAACGCTATTTTTAACTCTATAATAAATCATAGCCCAAAAGTTCTGAATATTCACAAAAGGAGTATCGAAATAAAGAAATGTGTCTGAAGTGAGGAGATCGAAACGATAGAGAAAATCAATTTTTTTAAATAATATAACAAATATAAATTATATATCATTTAGAACGAGCAATCATGTTTACTTTTATTATTCATTTGAATTCATTTTATTATTTTATTTATTGTATATAAAGATTATATAAATATTATATACATATTATATTATAAATAATTTATAACAAGCAATTGTGCCTTCTTTTTTTATCAAGAAATTTCCAGTTTTTGCACAGCATTCGTTGTACACATATATATTTTTTAAATAAAAATATATTAATTAATATAAAAGTTCTATAGTTCTCTTGTTTCAATATTTCTTATATGTGATCACCAGTTAACCGAACTGGAAAAAAATCAAGATGTTAAACTTATAAATGTAAACATTACTGGTGTAAGAAAGAGTGAGGGGAGCGAGTCCTCTTTCTCTCTCTATTTCTATTCTTCGATGTAAGAAATGTCCATGAGACCTAATTTTGCGGGCTTCACACACACACACACACACACACACACACACACACACACACACACACACACACACACTTTCTCACACTTACTCACTCTGACTCTCTCACGCCCCTATGACTATCTATCTATCTTTCTCTCTCATTTCATACAAAATGAAATGTTCATTTTGTTAATGAAGAAGCAAATCGATTTTGCTTTTAAACTCATGGCAATGGGCATCATTAGATAATTAATTCAAGATTTTTTTATTTGTTTTAATATTGATTATTCAAGAAATAATCCAAAAGATATGATAATTACTGACATAAACAATTTACTTTTAATTTAATAATTTTCAATGATTAATCCTTTGGCCACATTTGAAAAAGTTTTGTTATTAGGTTTGGAAAAAAAAATTCCTATTAGAGCAGAACTACATCCATTGAAAGCTTGATAAAGGAAGTGGATGTTTTTCTTTCCTCACAAATTGGTCTTATCCCTGATTTTTTTTAAATTAATATAAAATGCTGTTATCAATTATATTGAAATAATTATTACCAACTATCCACTACTTTTAAACATTCAAGCCATTAAAAATTACAGAAAAGATTGATCAAGTACTTTCAACTTTTTGTTTTGTTATATCAATATCAGCTTTTTGTTACTAATATGTAATCTTCAATTCTTCAATGTGGAATGGGACTGCCTAGACTGACAATTATATATTGAGTCTGCCCAATTTTTTTTTAGCTTTTGTTTTAATGATTTTTTTTTTTTTTTTTTTGTAATTTAAGGTACTTATTGGGAAAATTGTTCGATTCCCATGGAGTCGGTTGAAATTTCAGCCCAGTCGTACAATTGTGATCATACTTTCCATATCAGTAAATAATACTATTAGCATTTTTAATTATGTGATTATGTAATATTCTAGTTCCTTAAGTGTGTGTGTGTGTGTGTGTGTATGTATGTATGTATGTATGTATGTATGTGTGTGGGGGGGGTTATGTATGTGTGTGTGTGTGTGTGTGTGTGAGAGAGAGAGAGAGAGAGAGAATGAATGAATGAACAAGGAGTAAATAAATGAGACACTCTTGCTCTCTCTCTCACTCACTCCCTCCTTTCTCTACCACTTTCCGTTTTATCTCTCTTTTTAAAAAAATTAAAAATAATTATTTTGTTAATGAAGGAGCAAATTGATTTTACTTTTAAACTGACATCATTAGATAATTAATTAGTGATTTTTTACAACCACTATCTAATACCTACAATCTATTGAAAAGAAAATTTAAAAATTACACATCATAGCTAAATTTTTGATTTTAACTACATGAATAAGGTCGGTGTACGAATATCAAGTATTCCACCGACCAAACGGAATGAGTGTATTGTATGGATGTATTTATGTGTATGAATGTATTTATTTGTATAAATGTAGTGTTTGAAAGTGTAAATTAGTTATATATTACAAACAAATATTATAAAGACAAGGATGAGTCACTCTAGACTGCCATATTATTTATGCATGACTTCTATACAACTTCTTTTTACAGCTTATGTTTTAAGATTTTTTTTTGTAATTTAAGGTGCTTATTGAAAAAAATTTTCTATTGCCATAGAGTTGGTTCATATTTCAACCGTCGTACAGTTGTGATTATGTCCTCCATATCAGAAAATATTACTAATAGCATTTTTAATTAATGTGAGTGTGTGTGTGTGTGTGAGAGAGTGAGAGAGAGAGAGAGAGAGAGAGAGAGAGAGAGAGAGAATGAATGAATGGACAGTCTTTTTCTTTCTCACTCTCTCTCCTCTCTCTACCTCTTTCCATTTTAAAATAAAATAAAAATATTTATTTTGTTAATGAAGAAGCAAATTGATTTTACTTTTAAACTGGGCATCATTAGATAATTAATTCATGATTTTTTTACATTTTTTAATTAATCTGTTTGAAAAAAATTAAAATTACACATCATAGCTAAATTTATGATTTTAGCTACATGAACATTATAACGACACGGATGAGACACTAGTTTGCCATATTATTTATTTATTCACCTTCTTTTTACAACTTTTGTTTTAAGAATGAATTTGTTTTTGTATTTTAATGTACTGTTTTGGGAAATTTTTTGATTCCCATGGAGTCGCTTCAAATTTCAACCCTGTTGTATAATTGTGATCATGTTCTCCATATCAGAAAATATTACTCCTAGCTTTTTTTAATTGTTCTGTGATTATGCAATATTCCAGTTCATTTAAGTTTTTTCATTTATGTTTTTGGGCTGCATCGTTTATACCTTTGCTGATTAGATGGAATTTTAAATCATTTCACTTTTCTTATCTTTGTAGCATTCTTTTTCTTGTGTACTTTTAAGAGGTTACAATTTAAGTTTTTTTTTGTAGTGTTATTTATTGTTTTTTGTTCAATACATATATATACTTTTCTTAAGAACAGCTCAGTCCGACTCACTTTATGAAAGAGTGGTATGGATATGTCAAACCCAGGGCGGATGCTTGTGACCGACATGCTCGCTTTAGCTAGAATCGCTTCACCAGTGTCAAATCCCAACTCCTCCTCAGCATAATCAGGCCAGGTGCCCGAATACAAATTGAATATCAGATGGTTTTTACCACCGTTCCAGTACTTCAGTCTTTGCAGTCTCGAAGGAACATTCCTGACATAGTCGGAAGACAGATTATCCCTGTCCAGGGTGTCGATGGCAAGGACGAACAGGCAAGCAGCAGCCGGGTCAGGCGTGTAATACCTCGACTCGATGATAACATCAAGAACCCTCTGATACACGGGGCTGGGTATCAACGGGACTTCGGAAGACTCATCGCCGACAGGGTATACGTAAACTTTAAAATCTTTGGCACACCTGCTGAAATCGAAACAGGTTTCCATGCGACACTTTTGGTTGACGATGCCCTTCCGGAGAGTACGACTGCCACCGACACGCCTGACATGGGGCATAGGCTCCAAATCCTTCTCGAACAAGTGGTCGCTCCAGACGTCGACAAACGAAGGAAGCGTGTCCACGTCGAATGGTATGTAACGTTCACTTTTCAGCCTATATCCTCCGAAATAGCAGTAGGCGAGGAACGCACATGATAACAATACCAACAAATAACGCTTCTTCGCCTGCATATTCCTTCTTCACCGGAGTATAAGTCCCACTAGGAATTTTTCAACATTCTCATGTCACCAATCTCTCCTGTGCAGACGTTGGGCGTAAACTCGACGTCGTACAGCTTGAAAATAAAAACCCGCACGTTTGCCCCATCGTTCCGACCGGCTCGGGGACACTAGAACGAGGATAAATCCGAAGGAGTTGCTCGCGATTCGAACGATACGATACCGACTGTCCGCCTCCCTGCACCGCCGACGGACGACATCGTACACTCAAACCGAACACAAGTCAGATTGACACCGTACACTGACACTCAACACTGTATAACAAAGTTTCTAGAGTTCCCTTCCTCTCTCCGGCTCTCCTGCACTCTGGCATAAAAACAATGAATTATACTCTAGCCCAGCATACGCCTGCCATCTATCAGACCTTTACCTCACTTGACATCCACAAGATACAAACTGGCAATTACAAATACAGACGATTCTTCATAATTCGAAATGCAAGGGAACACAAAAATAATTCGAATTATCAAAAGGAAAGAAAATCAAATTATTAGGAGTTGATATGTATTTTATGTATTTTTACAAATTATTGATTGAATTCTACATAAATGGCAGTTACAAATACAGTCGATTCTTCATAATTTAAAATGCAAGGGAACACAAAAATAATTCAAATTATCAATAAGAAAGAAAATCAAATTATTAAGAGTTGATATGTATTTTATGTATTTAAATATATTATTAAATTATTGCTTGAATTCTACATAAATCATCATAAAAATAATGAGAAAGTGGAAATAGATCAACTCCAAATTTGAACGTTGTTACGTATTATTAAAAAAAATTCGTTGTAGTATAAAGAATTCCAATTCTTTTGAACTGTTCCATTTAGTGGCCATTAATTAATGATTATTTGAAGATCATGAGATGCAATCTGGTGTGATGTAGGTTTAGAAAAACATTTTCTTTATTGTGCCAATGTTTTGATCTTAATTGAGATCATCTTCGGGTCCTGGGATTTATAATCATTGTTTAAATTATACAAATATATGGTGGTTAGTGACCATTAATTGATAATTATTCAGAAATTGTAAGATGCAGTCTGGTGTGATGTAGGTTTTAGAAAAACATTTTCTTTATCGTGCCAACGTTTCAATCATTATTGAGATCATCTTCAGGGCTCAAAGTGTTTGTTTTCTGTGTAATTCTGCCATTCTTGTGTGTCGTGTTGAGAGTGCCCCTTGTGGTGATTTCTATGTTTAAAATGTTTCTTTTGAAATGTATTGTGGCTTTATGTATGTCGTTAATTCTGGTGTTTGGCTGTGTTAGTGTGACATTTGTGAAGTTAAATTGTTTTTGATGTGAGTAGGAAATACTTTGTGTTGTCTACATTTCAACAAAAAAGTCCTCTGGTTGATAGCCGAAGCAAGTTTCTTCTCCTTGTTGGCGATGTCCTTCAGAATACTTTTAGCTTCGTGTCCATATGTAGTTGAAATTTGTTCATAGAATCCCGTTCTTCGTTCTCATGTAGAAATGTGTGGTGGTTAGTGACCATTAATCGATAATTATTCAGAAATCGTGAGATGCGGTCTGGTGTAGGTTTCAGAACTCATTTTCTTTATCGTGCCAACGTTTCGATCTTTATTGAGATCATCTTGTTTTCTGTGTAGGTGTTTTGTGTGTCGTGTTGAGAATGTCAGTGAGATATTGATGTTTTATGGCCTAATTAATTTTTTAATAATTTGTTTATAAATCCCAGGAACGTTGGCACGATAAAGAAAATGTTTTTCTAAACCCTACGTCACACCAGGCCGCATCTCACGATTTCCAAATAATCATCGAATATCGGTCACAATTCACCACACATGTTGATTTATTTTGACTTTTTTTTTTTTTTTTTTTTAAATTTGAAGTTGTATGTAATGAAATATTTTTCACAAATAATGAATATCCAACAGTATACCTATATATGGCATTCATGTATTTGATAAATTGAATAATACATTGTATTGTAAAGTTTTTCTTTTTTTTTTACATTGGCAATGGTTTACATTTACACTATTCAACAAAAGTTAAATTTAATTACTGGAACAATTGGTTGATTTTTACTGTTTGTTAAGTTAAAAATAAACAGGTAATAAATTATAATAACAATTTTATAATTTTTCTACACAGGGATCTATCTTCTTTCATTTCATGTCCAAAATTTAACTCTACATTTTGTTGCAAAAGTTGTTTCAAAGTCACACATTGAAAAAATGTAACTTTCTTGGCTGGTATCAGCTGACATATTACTTTCCCAAAATTAGATTTCTCTGTCCTACTGATCTACATGATGATTCAAAAAATGAATTTTAAGTAACTAAAACAATTGTTTCCTGGATGTTTTCAAAGAAATGGCTAAATTTAAAATATCAGCCGTCTGTGATCATAATCATTAAAATAAATAGTATTTTAATCAATTAAGCTAGATAGGATCAACCAGGGTGATTGGGTAAAAACTCGAACCCAATAAGTACACTCCTCTTAATTTTATCATATTTTTAAAAATTGATTGTTAATCGTTGTTTATAAAAATTATATTGTTTAGGTAGCAATTTTCATTAATCCAATATTGAAAGATGGCAGTGAGTAGTACTCAAGACGTCATCAATTGATGATCCGTTGGATTTGGGATGGCATTGTCATCAAGATGAAATGCCCAGAAAAAATATTTGAAATTGCTTCAGAATACCAATAAAAACTTATTTAAAAGTTCAAAGACTAGGCTGTTTGATGATGACAGGAGCATTTTCAACTGCACCCACCTTAGCACTTCAAATCATAACCAACACCACACCTCTACACATTGAGGCTAAGGTCAGAGCTAATTAATCATTAATCAGCTGCTTCAGATTAATTAGTGAAGGCAGCTGGAATCATAAGTGCAATAACATAGGTCACTCGAAAATCTTAATTAAAGTAATCTTAAATTAAGTTAACTATTGGTTAACGGCCAATTATTAAACGTTAATGATAAAAAGATTAAAACCCCTTCAGGGAAAAAGTACTTTCAGGTAGTCACCCCTTGTAAATATAATTATAGTTTTGATGATGACCATCGCAACATAGACTGCTATACAGATGGTTCACTTATCAAAGGTAGAGGGAGTGGTGCAGGAATCTACATACCTAAATTAGGAATCAGCATCTCCTCTCTTGGCAATAACACCTCCGTTTTTCAGGCGGAAATCTGGCCATTAATGTGTGTTGTAGTACACTTATGGAAAATAAAATTAAGGGAAAGATATTAGAATTTTTTCTGACAGTCAGGCTAGTCTTAGGTCATTACAAAAAGATTTGTCAACCTCTAGACTGGTGGAGTAAATTGTAGTTCTTATCAATAGGAATTCTTCCAGGTTTACCATACCAGCACATAAAGGACACCATGGGAATGAAGAGGCGGATAGCCTGGCCAAAGAAAGCTCTAATACTGCCTTTGAAGGGCCACAACTGGTATTACCTCACTCTATGAGCACAGTGAAAGAGTGTTAAAAACTGGGGTATGAAACAATTCCTTAAGTAGTGGAATCTATCCCCCGGACACAGGCAATAGAAAGAGTTTGTTAAGGTGATCAAACCAGCAGAATCGAAATGGTTATTCTCTATCTCAAGGAAGGGAATTAAGAGGCTGATAGGCATTCTGACAGGCCACCGCCCACTGAGAAGAAACGGCAAGGCACTACCTCGCAGAGTGTGATAGGTATGCTAGGTCTAATTTTGAAATCTCTGAAGGAGCAGACATCCCCAAATCACTCCCCAAGATAAAATGGTCCAAAATCTTGGGGTGTGTGAACAAGTCCAAGAGATTATGCAGGACATGTGAGCCGACCAAATCCCGGAACTTTTAGGGATGGGGTACGAGTCTACCCAGGCATTTAACCCCTCGAGTCTTNTGAAGAGTCGTTGAGGCGTCATCGATTGTCGATCCGTTTGGTTCGAGCTCTTCATCACAGAATACCAATAAAAAAATTATATACAAGTTTATTTATTATAAATGGAATATAAAATAAATTATAATGACGTGTAAAGTAAGGAGTTACTATAAGGATCGTTCTATGAAAATGTGATTTTAATGTTTGTGATTGATTTTAAAGGATTTATTATACCTTCACTAGTTTGAAAACTAAATTTTTAAAAAAAGAGCGAGAATAGACGGAACAAAGATATTTAATATAGACAAAACCATTTTATTAATTGAGGGCGAATTTGTTATCCGTTTACGAAAACGGCGCTCGGACATACTAAACCTGCAACACATTCAGGTTCGGCAAAACTGTATCACAATTATTTCAGGAGCGAACGTCGAGTCATGATCTGAAAATTTATATTAAAATCTTTTTAAATTATTTTAAATTATTCCGAGGGTATGTAAAAATTTTACTTTATGACACATTGACCAGGTTTTGTAAACTTTTGTCATTTTATGAATTTTGATTTTAAAAATTCCTTCGGTGGTTATTTATCGAATTTTGTTCGTGTAATTTCGCATTAACTTATCAAAGGCAAGGTAGGTTTTGATTACTGTCTGCCACAAAGATATTCGTGCAAATAGAAATAGAGCCATCAAAGTTTGCTGTCGATATAAAAGGATGTGAACCTTTTATTTGGCATTTCCGGTGTTGCAATGTCCGAAAAATCTCAAGACTTTCCTATTCTTCCTTTCCCATTTTGAATAGAAACTCTGTGATAAAAAGAATAAAAACGATACCGATCTGTCGTCTGTGTGTGTTTCCACTAATTTTAAAACAGATTGGATATTATGTTTTGCACAAAGAGATGTTTTGTTAATTTACTGTGATTGACGTCAATATCTTGTTTAAAATGAACCTTCTTCTGTGTAGTTTCTATTCCCGCTTAATTAATTTCTTCAGTTTTTTCTTTATTTTTTAATTATTATAAAAAAACTATGTTTCACGAAAATGGGCATTCAAAACAGTTAAATAGGGGGAACGTGGAGCACCCCGAAATCGATATTATTTTGACTACTTTTATAAAAAGTGTGTTTTTGGTTGTCTTCATCTGTGGAATAAAGTGCGTCAAGATAAAAAATGTAGCAGATATAGTTTTAAAGGGTTAATTTTTAAACTTATTATCCAGTAATTTTTTATTATGTCTCACTTAAGAATAGCATTTAAACTATGTCTTATTTCATTATAAAGACGATTGGATAATAAAGTGGTGTTTTTCTAGAAATATTTTTTTTTAATTATACTGCAACCAGGCACACTAAAACCGATCATGGAAAATGGGAAATCGACGAAACGTGACAGACCCAAACAGTGAGAATAAGCGGGTCAAAATGATCGGAACATACA